AAATTTTTATTCAAATTTTGTTGTTTTAATTATTTTCTAATGGAAGATTATTGTTTTAGTGTGTATTGCTTGGAATTCCGCTTTGGCCTTCTATACTTAAAGAGGATACATTCTATATTCTCTGGTAATGTATAAGTTTTTTTTTATCAGAGCTTAGGTTACATATATCTGCTCTGTTCTCCCACGACCGCCACTCGTGGACACGACTTTACCTATGTATACGGAAGGGGGCCAACCAATCAGAGGCGTGTAAGAGAGAGAAAGGTTGTACTGCTATTTGTCTTTTGTCTCTTTCATCTCGTCTCACAGTCGGAGCATACAATGCTTCCTCCATGTATATATTCTCTAAGGCTCTGAGTTGCATTCACACACACACACACACACATACACACACGTTGGCTCACATCTTTGTATTGTATTTTTATTCTTAGTTTATTCAGTGTATCATTAAACGTTCGTAATATTCAGTTTAATTCAGTTGCATTTAATCCGGATTGTATTTGTTTTTATTTCATCAATAAATTGGGTTTTTTTATGACTCCCGGCTTTTTTCCCTAAGTGCAGTATTTTTTCTTTCTTTATCCTCTCCCAATAAAACGCAACTACGAAGCATAGTCAAACCGACAAGGTTTCGAGCGTGCATAAAATAAATAAAATAACACAAGAGCCAATCACCACACAACCCAGGGTGCTTACTGACCGCTTTGTTAGTTAATAAAATAATTAAAATAACACACTCGCTAATCACCACACAACATGGAGCGCTTACTGACCACTTTGTTAATTAATAAAATAAATAAAATAACACAAGAGCCAACCACCATCGCTAATCACCACACAACATGGAGCGCTTACTGACCACTTTGTTAATTAATAAAATAAATAAAATAACACAAGAGCCAACCACCATACGATCCAGGGTGCTAGCTGGCCGCTTTATTAATTAATAAAATAAATAAACTCAAGCGCCAATCACTAAGCAGCCTGGGGCGCTTACTGACATTAAAATCAATTTAAAAAAACGATCAACAATTTGGTCAAAAATTAAATCTGATACTATGGTTTATTTTAGTTGTAACATATTAATTTTTACGTGTCGTCTTTTGAATATTAAAATTTTTTTATGTTTTGCAATGTTTCAGCCCACCTGAAAAAAAATGTCGGAATTCTATATAGAATTACTTCTGTAATACTTGCAGGAAAGTCATATGGCATTACACATGGTTTTACACATGGCATTACATAAAGTATTTTAGCTTGGTGATGCCATATGTAATTCCATATGGAAAAACACATGGAATTACTAATTGGAAACAGAAAAAATTTCTATCATCTAGAAATAACTGCAAAATACCATAATAAGTTATTGGCGATTAACATTTTGTCTTACCATCGGGATGATAACTCCAAAACAAGGGGGTTCAGCTGATTGTACTCCTATAGANAAAAATTTGTCTTACCATCGAGATGATAATTTCAAAACAAGGGGGTTCAGCTGATTTTACTCCTATATAAAAAAATTTAATTTTTCAATTTTTTTTTTTTATTCCTGAAATATAACTTGAATCCCCTTGCTTTCGAGTTATCATCCTGATGGTAATCCTAATTATTCACAGTAAATGACGCATTACAGTATTCTGCAGTTATTAATTTCTAGATGACAAAATTTTTTTCCTTCTTCCAATTTGTGATTCTAAGTGTTTTTTCAAATGGAATTACATATGACATTACCAAGCTAAAACCCCTTATGTAATGCCATACGTAAAACCATATGTAATGCCACATGGCTTTTTTGAAGGTATTACAGAAGTAATCACACATGGAATTCCGTCTTTCTTTTTCAGGTGGGAGTACATCCAAGTTGTACTGAATTTTTCGCAACCTTTTGATTTTAATCAAAGTTTTAGAATGTTTCTGGGTCTTTGCATAATTTTTAAGTTTTTTATGCTGTTTTGACGTGAAATCAATCAATTTATTAATGATTAATCGAGCAAACAATTCAATAAATGTTGATTTGAACAGGTACACGTATATGGGGAGAATTTTCTCAACTGCCCCAGCGCCACCGCAGACAGGCTGCGTGAGCGCAAAAGACG